CCACGAAACAAAGAAAGGTCTGTCACAGCCAAAAAATACACTCCAGACACGCCGCTGTGACTAGAGGCACAGCATGGCCGCCTAGTAACGGCCCCGACCACTGCCGCTCGACGTGACCGGAAAAAACCGTAGCAGGAAGCTAGCGAAGTCGTAGTATATATATATTATATATATGAGTCGCTGAAACTCCAATGAAACAGATTGTCGTCCTCTTCTCCCTCTCTGCCTACGGTGTACTGAGCAGCTCTGTTTGACAACATATATTGTCACATAAATATGAACTAAAAGAGCACACTCTACGAAACAAACGGTAAAGATAAAAAAAGTTAAAAAAACAAAAAACAAAACAAAGATGAGGGCCCCCCGAAACTATTCATTTTTCTCATTCTTCTTTTAACTCCCCCTTCACCTTGCCTCTCACGTACAAGGCTCGCCACGTTGATGAAGTTGAGCGCAAGCTGCCCGCATCCCCGTGTGCCATAACGACCCACTTCTGAGTAAGAGGTGAGGTGATAAACACAAGGAAGAGAGATGACGAGAAGAGAAACAAAGAACAAAAAAGGGTATAGAAAAAGGGATCAAGAATGAGTCTGTCCTTGACGACAGAGAGGACACACATTGTAAGGATGAGGTGGATGGGCACATGGAAGACCTAGCTGAGCATTCTCAGTGAAACAATTGCCGCGACGGCTGGCATTGAGCATGCCCAACATACACTCCAAACAAATGGCATCTCGATTGCAGGCCAAAATGAAGAAAGAAGTTCCGACGAACGCTCACCACAAAAGACCATGCATTCAGTATGACGCCCATGACCCCAAAATGGACATATAGTGTCTGGATGCGGAGGGTGGCTGCAGTCAGGAACGGAGGGACAGTCCTCCACACACATAGATGCAGAAACCATGTCATTGTAGTGATTGGGACAGAGACGATGGTGATTACAGCCGAGTGTAACAGTGTCGGTAGCAGTGCGAAGGAGAAGGTCGCAGAGTGTTGGTACATTGTCGTGCTGCAGCACGGGGCCAGATGATCTTCGACATAAACGAGATTGCGGACAGTTTGGTGTGGCAAGAAAAGCATCATTATGTAAGAAATCAGTAACATCAGTCATGGCATGGATCATGATGCCGTTGTCCCACAACCCCCAGTGGTCAGAGGTACGTACAATGCAGGCAGAGATGTGGAATGGAGGATTAAACCACTCACCTGCTCGAGCATTGCGTAGCTCAAGTTGGAGGTCCTTCATTGCTTTTTTTTTTTTTTTTTTTTTT